TGTTCTTTGTGATTGTATGGCTGAAGGTCAGGCTTAGAGTCATCCCTTACTTTTACTTAATGTGGCTATTTTGTGTTCTGTTCTTCCAGATTTGCCTTATCTAATTTCTTCCAGAGACAAAGTAAAATGGGTCTTCCCTGCCTAGTTGCTCTTAGGAGGGGAAGAGGCTTTGTAAGCACGTAGGGTGCGGAGAAGGGGTGGCAGCTGCTACCAGTAAAGTAAAATGCACCATACATACTTGGAACTGGGAATAGACTGCATTTTTTTAAAAGCATTTATTTATTTATGCATACAGAACTGGGGTTCAGGCCAGAGGTGCAGGGGCAGCAAAAGGATTCACCAGAGGCAGAGTGGGGAGCAGAACAGGCAGATAGAGGAAGTACGCTGCTGAGGGGAGCAGCAGGGGAGACAGGAGGGGGTCTGCTGTGCTGTGGGTCCCCTCAGGGCTGGGGATCAAACTTGCACTGAAGCCGCTGTGGCTAGCTTGCAGTGCTGCGTCCTAACCCGCAGATTGCATTTTTAAAAAGTTCTCATGTGTTAAGGGAGTGTAGCACTTGCACGAACCTAAGAAATGACCTTTATATCCTTCTGCAGAATATTTACCTGAGTAAGACCTGAGGGTTGGCAGCAGAGAGATAGGCACGTGCACAGGAGAGTCTCCTTTCCTATAGTCATAGTTTGATGTTCTCGACAGTAATCAACACAAGTTTATAATGGGTAAATCTTCATCTTAATTTGTCATCCTTTGTCATTTTCCAAGCTTCTCCAGTGAATGGGTACTCCTTTATAGCCAGAGAAACAAAAATCCATGGTATGTGTTTAGAATTTTAAAATGACATTTTTCATCTAAATAGGGTGGGCACAAAACACATGTGTTATATGGATAGAAAGTTCTGTCATAAGACGCGATTGTGGGAACCTAGAACCTGGTGCCAATAAACCACCACCCCCACTGCAGGCCTCCCTGTTCCCTGTTACCCCAGTCTCTGTCCTAGGCTAATTGTCTCCCCTCCACAGTCAAGTTCCTTTAAGAGTGGGGAGAGCAGCCCATATTTCTCTAAGTCTGCAGTGCAGGCCAAAAGAAGTTGTACAAATATTTGCTCAGTTTTTGCTTACGAATTGAAATGGAACTGAGGATGGACATATGCTTCTGGCTGTCCGGTCTAGACAGGGATTGTGTGTGTACAATGGAAGCAAATACCGGATTACTGCCTAGCACAATATTCATGACTTGCGTGAGCCTGGGGCTGTTTCTATGAGTGGTTTCATCATTCAGCAATTTTTGAGCTGTTCCCTGGGGGCCAAGATGCCTGTGCAGAAAGGACAAAGGATCAGGTAGGGAACAGGAGAAAAAGGTGATCGGTAAATGGCAGGGCTCTCTTTCCTTTGGCCTCTGTTTTACTATCACCCACGGGTGCCCTGGTGCTCTTCCAGATGAACAGAGATGATGATGGTTACCATTTTGCAGGAGTCGCTGTGCTGTGGCTTTCTGCTATTCAGGATCCTCTGGCCGCAAATGACAGACAAACCAATTCTAACTTGCTGGGGAAAGGGGAGGGGATTTATCGGACATGTCTATGAAAATTCCGGTCCTGGTTTTGTAACAGGGTGATCCCCAGGGAAGAGGGAAGTTCCAGATTCCCTGCCCCACCCAAGGGGGGGGGTGGAGCTGAGCAGTGAAGGGAGGAATCTGGAGTCTGGGAAGAAGGAAGCTGGATGGAAAGCCAGAAGGTGACTTGAGGGAGGCACATGGGGCAGAGAGACTTGTGAAGAAACTGCATTTGCTTCTTGGCCCTGGACTGGTTGAAATAGACATGGGTGAGAGACCTATGGGGAGGTTCACTATGGCAGTGTTTATCTTGATTTTGATTTTGTTCTTTTCCTCCCAGACTGGTTTGGCCATGTCTGACCCTTTTCCATGGGTCCCAGCCAGAAGGTGCGTTAGACTTGTGTCAGGCTTTCAGGCCTTGCTTTGGGCCAATCCCTTTTGGGTTGACTTATTTTTACCCACGAGGGGATGGGTAACTTTGGGTGTTTGATTTAGAAACTGTATTTTTTTGTCTTTTCTGTATTACACACTAAATGCATTAAAGTTCCTTTCCATTAAAGCTTGCCTTGTATTGATGTGGTGGATGGCAGAACCTATTTAGAGCAGGCAGGTTTGAGGATTCCGGGGTGCCCCTCTCCCTGCCCTGTAACAGTTTCATGCATAACAAAAAGTTGCTTATCTCTTGACTCTGTTTTCCTCTGTGTCAGCTAAGATCTCCGACCTCCGGCATGGTCTCCCCAGGTGCTGGCCAGTGACCACTAACTGCTTCAAGCCAACATCCCATATCCAACAATGACAGGAGTGATTCAATGGAGTAAGAGTCTTGAGCTGCTCCCACACACATATTTTCCCACAGTAACCTTTCTTTTTCTTTCTGAGTAGCCCTTCCCCCCCCCCCTTACTTATCAGCCATGAGTGGTATTGCCCTTGGGGCAGAGAATTGTTCAATGCCCAGTACAAAATCTTTTCAGACTTGGGGAAACTAAGCAGGATGGTGTACTGCGAGACACAAAGACTGGGAAAGGCTGTGTCAGTCATCAAGGAAGAAGGCAAAAAGGACAGCCGGTGAGTCACAAGTGAATGGGGAGGGCAGATCCTCCAAGTCTGGAAGTAAACACTGACTGGACACTGAGCCCTCCCGTGAGGCTTCATATTGTAACAAGGTGGTGCCTAGGAAAAGGGGAGGTTCCAGGTTCCCTGCCCTACCCAAAGGAGGGTGGAGCAGAGTTGGGAGGAGAATCTGGAGCAAAGATGGAGAAGGAAGCAAGCAAAATGGAGAGCAAGAAGGAGACCTAGAGGAGGCACAGGGAGCAGAGAGACTCGTGAAAAGAAACTGAAATTGCTTTTTGGTCCTACAGGTTGAAACAGGTGTGGGTGAGATACCTGTGGAGAGGTTAACAATGGCAGCTTTTATCTTGGTTTTGATTTTGCTTTTCTTCTCCCAGACTTGTCTGGTTTTTTATGACCCTTTTCTATGGGTCTCTACTGGAAGGTGCTTTTGACTTGACTTGGAGCAGGCTTTTGGGCCTTGCTCTGGGCCAGCCCTGTTTGGGTGGACTTTTATCCACAAAGGGATAGGTAACTTTGGGTGCTTGTTTTGGAAACTACATTCTTGGTCTTTTCTGTATTGCTCACTAATTGTATTAAAGTTCCTTTCCATTAAAGGTCTGTATGTTTAGTCTTGATGCAGTGGATGGCAGAACCTACTTTAGAACAGGCTTGGGGCTTCTGGGATGCCCCTCTCCCTGCCCTATAACAATACCAGTTGGCTGGCTGGGGAGTGGTGAAACTGGTGGACTGGGTTGGTTACTGGGGAGTGCTGATATGAAAAGTTCTAAGCAGAAAGCCCCAGAGAAGATAGAAATATGGGTAAAAAATCTTTGGGTGTGGTGGGTGGATTTGGGAGTCATTAATGGAGGCATGAATGAAGGGGTGATATGAGGAACTCAGAAAGAGCCATTGAACGGAAATGTAAGGAAATTCTTATCAGTGTACCTTGTACTCGTGGCCGGTTGTGCCAGCGCCTATTGGGGTCAATGATACCAAAGGCGTCTGGCATCTCCCACTGAAAAATTATGTAGAGGTCCCACTAGCTGGAACTCAACATTTCACAGAAATAATCCACATGCACCATATCAAATCAAATACAATAGCACACATCTCAGATAGCCAACAGGCCGCAGAGAATTCAGTCAAGTGCACTCTGTAGCTCTCTGCAAGGCCAGGTGGGGGCTGGGAGGGTGGGTGACTAACAGCGCACAGCCAGGACCTCCCACAAAGGGATAGGACGGGACGCTCCCAGGCCATCCCTAGACCCAGAAGCAGCAGGTCTGGAGTTGACACACAGGGCCGGATGTGGTCCGCGCCGGAAGAGAGGCGTGGGGTAGGCTGAAGTAGGGACGGCGGGCACGGTGGCAAGAGTCCTGACAGTTTGGGTCCGCACAGCAGCAGTCTACTCAGCAGTAGCGGCCCTCAAACAGTCGGCCAGGCCCAGCACCGGGATCAGGACGTCGGACCAGTCGCACCACCCGAAAGCACCCATTCTGGCACCAACGGCTGGGCCCGGGCGGCGTACCGGCAAGGCGCGCGCCCCCGCAGTCCCGATCCCAGGTCCGGCGTTGTGCGCAGCGCGGCGGCTCTGCGCGCTTGCAGCCGCGGTCACCACACACTCAGAACGCGGCTTTTGCACGCGGGGAACCCCGCAGACTGGTCGGTTTCCTAGCGGCGTGTCTGGTCTTCCGATTCGAGTGCAAAGCCCATTTCGGCGTGGGTCTCCCGGGCCGGGCCGCACGACTTCACCGCCTCCGGGGCGGAGCTCTG